CACAGGACAGAGCGGAGTTTAGGGCTGTTGTACATAGGGTCGCTATGAGTCGCAGGCGACTCGACGGCACATAACAACAACAACAACAACAATTGGCATTTTAACAAAAGTTTATAGAAAAGTTAGATTTTCATTCATTCATTGTTGCACATTTTACCCCCTCTCCTTCCCTCCCCCTCCCTAAGCTGACTTTCCCCCCACTAGTTTATTTATGAAATTCTAATACAAATCCAAACAAATGCTTTCAATTTCCCTCACCGCCCCCCCTCAAATTGTACAACCCAATGATTAATCCCTCTTCCCCCTGTACATCCATGTCCCTTTGCTTCCAGCCTCTCCCACCCCTCCTGGAACCTTATACTTCTACAATAATGGTCTTAGAACAATATTCATCCTGTGGGACTGAGTTCACTCGGCATGATGCTCTCCAGTCCCTCCCAAGTTAGGTAATAATTTGAGCACATAGGGTTTTGAGTGCCATTTAGAATTAGGTCCACATACCTTCCTGTTGAGATGCCTCTGGGTGGTCTTGAACTCCCAACCTCTCAGTTAGCAAACATGTCTACTATTGGCATCACACAGGGACGCCTGAGGCCTGGCAGCTCCGGCTGATGTTATTCTTGTAGTGAGTGGAGGAGACAGGGCTTTGCAGGCAGGCCAGTCACACAGCTGTGGTTCAACATAGCAGTTGGGTGGCAAGTTCAAGGATAAGCGTCCTGGAGTAGGTTATGTTTCTGCTGAGCCCCATAAAGTGATGAGGAGTTTGGAAAGTACATTGGGGTGCTTCCAGCCCAGGGAACAGCATCTACAAAGGCCTCGAGGTGAGAGAGGACATGCTAAACCAGTGTGGTCACACGTGGCTGGGGTGCACTTGTGCGTGTTGGGGTGGGGTCTTGCCTTGTCTCTAAAAGGGTTAGGGTCTCCTCTACAGATGAGTCAGAGCTGATGGTGCAGCTTCCCGACAAGATGCGGCTAGACCTCGCCATCGACGTAAACTACGACATTGTCAGCAAGGTGGCGCTTTTCCAGGTGCGGGAGCCCAGTGTCCCTGTCCTTGGGGGAAGCCTGGGGAGGCCCCAGCCACACCGCCTTTCAGTGGGGCTCCTTCCCATTCTTTCTGGAACAGGGCTGCGACCGGCAGATGATCTTCGACATGCTGAAGAGGCTTCGCTCTGTTGTTTACTTGCCCAACGATTATGTGTGTAAGAAGGTGAGTGGCTGAAGATGACTGTGGCTGTCTGGGGTTTACGACTCTGATACCTTTCAAGGAGCTTGCTGGGGTGAAGGGATGCCTCTGAGGGCCCAGAAGAGAGGGGCATTGCCAGAAAGGAGTGGCTGCAGCCTCAGGAATGGCGCCTGCCAAAGACATGAGGGTGGGAGTGGGTGGGATTATGAGCAGAAGTATCTCTTACCTTGCAAAGTATTCCCATAGTTCCCTGGGATGTAGCCCGTGGGGGCCATGCAGATGCCCACTTTATAAAAAAAAAACAAACGAGGAAAGAACAGTTTTGGAAGAGGGGCAGGACCTTGACTGTGTAGGTGAAACCACTACCAGGTCTCAGTCTTCCCATCAGGTAAATGGATGTGACTAGATCAGAGACTGCGCACTAATGGCCCTTATGTATAATTAAGCTCACGTAGGTCTTCTAGTAACATATTTTTTTAAATGAAACTAATTTCCCACTTTTAAAAATGAGGAGACTTCACATAAAAATCCAGATGTCTAGCTTCACTTGAAAATGGAGAATATCTGCTGATACTTGACCGTGCTTTCTCAAATTAAAAGAGCCAGTTAGAGTGGAGGAGAGGCTGCCTCTGAAAGAGACGTGATGCTGCCTCCTGATGCCGCAAGCCCCACCACTTCCTACTGTCCCACACCAGCCTCCCTTCACACCTTGCATCACCTAAGAACATTTGGGTTTAAATTCCAGAGCTGATCAGTGTCTAGGGTCCCTCTGCTCCCACTCTTTGGAAGCCAAAGTGGGAACAAGGTCGCTTAAGGAGTGTTTAGGGCTTCAGGAACCAAGACTGCAGGCATCTGTGCAGAGCTTCCGATGAGGCTGGATGTGTGCAGGGGTGAATGTATTGTCAGGAAACCCTTGCTAGCACTCAGGAGCCCTGCTAAACTCAAGAAGGTCCCGGGTCCATGTCAAGTGCTCTGCAGCAGGGAAGTTTCTGGAAGCAGATCTAGCAAATAGGAAAGGGGAAGGAATGTAGGCAATGGCTGAGACTTTGAACCTGCAGCTTTAGGAGACCAGAGGGTGGCAGCAGTACAGTGATTTTTCTGACACTGGAGTTGCTTTCCGGTTGTGCAGCCTTGGCAAGTGTCTTGCCCTCTCTGAATGTTTTCTCTCGGATAAAGTGTGGATACTGATTGCACCTTCCTCATGAGGTGGCCGTGAGGGTTGAATCAGAGAGCTTGGCACACTGCCTGGAAAAGAGTAAGTCCATTTGTGTTGTTATCATCTGTAGTGTTAGCTTAAAAGTTGGCTTTTTGAGCTGTTAGTCTCCTCTGGTCTCCAGCTGCCTTAACTGCAGACACATGTTCTTGCAAATCACCAACAGCTCTGGGACTAGGAAGAGAGAGAGAGAGAGAGAGAGGAAGAAGGAAAGGGAGAGGGAGGGAGAGGGGAGGGGAGAGGAAAGAGGAGAGAGAGAGCGCGAGAGCATGCTTCCCACATGGGACAGCAAGATTTGAGGTAAGAAAGACTTGAAGCAAGACTTCAGGCAGCAAGACTGGAGGCAAGCAAGGCTTGTGGCGGCAAGACCCTGGTGAGAGTCAGACCCTGGTGGTGAAGACACTGTGGCATTGCTGTAGACAAATGGTGGCAAGGTGTGACCTGAGGCTTCTTGCATTTGTGCTGGCCACAGTTAAAGGCTTAGCTGTTCTTGCTGGATTTTTGAAGGAGAAAAGCTGATTTATAACTGCTCAGAGGTAAACCTTGCTGGATGGTTTGGATTTGAGTGCTGAACTGAAACTGGAGGCTGGACTTATTGAGGAATTTTGCTTTGGAGCTGTCGGGCTAAACCCTTGACTTGTATTGTGAAATATTCTTTGCCTCCTGCACTCACTTCCCTAATAGACCCCGCTGTTGGTGCCATAACTGTGAGTCCCTGATGAGTCAGCAACAAAAAAAATGAACTTTTGCTGCTGCTGCTGCTGGGGTTCCAGAGGTCCCATAAGGCTGGGCTATGAGCTCTTCACCTGCTTTCTGCTCTGGCCCGCTGTGGGGCTGAATTATTCTTACTTCCTATCACTTCTCGGCCTTTTTGCTAAGGTCAAGTATAGTATTCTTGCTCCCTGTGGCCCTTTCAGAGAGATGCTGGTGGCCTTGTGCCATCATGTCCTGTTTCTTGCCCCCCTACTTAGGCATCAACCTTGGCAGTTACTGAAAATTTGCTTTAGATGAGAAAAGACTGGTCAGATTATTGGGGTCAGAATTGATCAGAATGGAATCCTTGATAGCTATTGTGAACAGCGCCGCCTGCCGGTTCGTTTTTGCTCTGCAATGCTGTCCCTGAGCAGTCCTCAGGGGTTATGAGTCAGACAGACACATGTGGGTCCCGAATCTCCCACTGCATGAAAGGCGCCTCATGCACTGGACATCTCTGACTGCATTTCAAACCAAGCTTGATGTCCCTTAATTGGGTAGGGATAATCTCTTTCCCTAAGGATTACAGCCAAACAAAATCTATGGGGCAGTTCTACTGTTTAATGGGTTCTCTGTGAGTCACAATCAAACTCAGTGGCGTCCAATAACAACAGACTTGAGAAAAAGAGCAATAAAGCCACATGCTCTGGGTTCAAGTCCTGGCTCTGCTTAAGCCTAGCTTTGCCCTTGGGAACACAGTTCCTGGATCTAAGAGTTGTTGAGGATAAAGTAGGTTCAATCATATGGCCACTTAGAAGTGTGTCAGGCTCAGAACAATGTTATTTAAGTGTTGGACATCGTAGCTATTATAAGTTGTTCTTATCATTCTTAGATACTCACTGAGGTTGAGCTCCTGAGAGGCACTAGGGGCTGATCTGAGCAGATGAGCTCTGACACTCAGCATAGACAAGTTTGTGGTATGAACCACTGTAGATTTTCTAGGCTTGGGACCTTCCTGTCACATGGTGCTGGTGTTGTCGATTGCCTTCGAGTTGAGCATGACCCATAGCGACCCTATGAACAAAAGGCCTGAAGCCCCTCTACAACCATCGACATGTATCAAAGTTCATAGAGTTTCCAGAGGCAGGTTATTTAGGAAGTGGATTCCACTCCTGCTTCCAAAATACGCTTGGTTGAGAATTGGCAGGACCATTAAACGTGCTCCTCTGCGCTTCCCTAGCCTTTCCTTCCACGGCTCCACTCACTACTCTTTTTAAATGGTCATCTAGGCAGGCAGGACAAGGTCTCACCCCAGTCCACAGGTGGGGAGGCTGAGGCGATGAGGGGAGGTGGCTGGCCCCGTCTTACACAGCAGGTTGACAGCAGGGCAACGACCAGACCGAGGCTCCTCCTTGCTGTTAGCCAGCCTTGCCTGCTGCTCTGGTGGGCGGGCAGAGGAGCTGACCCTCTGCTCTGTCCCAGGGGGAGATTGGCCGTGAGATGTACATCATCCAGGCAGGCCAGGTGCAGGTCCTGGGCGGCCCCGACGGGAAGTCTGTGCTGGTGATGCTGAAGGCAGGATCCGTGTTTGGAGAAATAAGGTCAGAGGAGCGGGATCACGAGGAGAGCTGGGCAAAGACTGGGAAGGAGGCATGGGGAATGATCACTGAGGAAGGCCATGTACTGGAGGGCCCTTGGGTGGGTCTGGATGCTACTGAGACGTGGCCAGCACCTGCGGACATGTGCGGGCCACCGTATGCAGTGAGGGCATGAGGGAAGCAAAGAGTTTTTGTTTTTTAATTGTGATATAAGTTTCTGTTTACAATGCATATTGTTATTTTTCCCCCCTCCAATTCCTCACGCACATTTGGTTCCACACCACCACCAGTTACAACACACGCAGGGTCTGACCATCCGCTCATTCCACCCTGCCTGCCCCCACCCATCCCAGTGATGGTTTGCTGTCCATCAGTTCATTTCCTTCTCCCTGGCCCTTCCCCTCCCTGGTAGCCACAGTGCCCCCTGAGGCTTCACCTCCCTCCCTTCTCTGCCCCAGCTTGCTGGCCGTTGGGGGCGGGAACCGGCGCACGGCAAACGTGGTGGCCCATGGATTCACCAACCTCTTCATCCTGGACAAGAAGGACCTGAACGAGATTTTAGTGCACTACCCTGAGTCCCAAAAGCTACTCCGAAAGAAGGCCAGGTACAGAATTGGATTTTTATTCTCCCCCTAAAGAAGTCTGCATATTCCTCAGTGTACATTTCCTCAAACCACTTTCTCTTATATAGAGCACACCGTGCTTTTATCAAAATCCCAATATCTAATATTGAGACAATACACTTAGCTCATCCATGGTCTGTATTCAAATTTCACTTGGAGTACCAGGAGCTTTCCTTTATCACTTTCCCATTCTTGGAGCAAATCTAGGCTCAGATGTGACATTAAGTTGTATCTTTAATCTCCTTTAATCTGGGACAGTTCCTCACCCTTTTTCTGTCTTTAAAGACTTGGGCTTCTTTGAAGAATCAGCCAGTTGCTGATATCAACTTTAACTCCTAGCGGCCCCTATATCAGAGAAGAACTTCTGTGTTCCGTTGTGTTGTCAATGGTGGATTATTTATTTTTTTTTGGACATAGATCACCAGGCTTTTCTTCTGAGGCACTTTATGGTAGATTACAACCATCAGCTTTTGGTTAGCAGCCAAATATGTGAACCATCAGCCTCGCGCATAGACCCTAGGGAAGCCATTGGATGCTTCAGAAGCCAGTCACCTGAACTTTCCCCACAAAACCCACCCACTTCCCCCAGTATGTCGGCTCTGGGAGTCAATTCCTGTTGCTCTGAGGGACAGGAAGATGCACATCTGAGAGGTGGCCCCAGACCCCCACACTCTCCTCCTCCTCTCTTCTGGGGGAACATGTGCAGGACAGCCATGCTGACAGCTGCCTTCCCATCCCTGGCCTCGTTAGTGTAGGGGAGGCTAGCAGATGGAACAGGGCCCCAAAGAACCCCCACAAGAGCAGTGTGGGGGGCCCTGCTTGTGGACAGTGCCTGTGGTAGGCCTGGGTGATGAGAGGAGGCAGAGACGGGTTGATGAAGCAGCCCACTAACGTGCTGGAGGTCTGACTACCCAGTAGATGGGGACTCTTTGCAGACACTGCCTGTCTCTGATGACCACAGGCCTCAGGACGTCGGTGTTGCTGAGAGCCTCCCATGACATTCTGTTCAAGCTCCCCATCCTGCAGAGGGGTTACCTGAGGCCTCAAAGCAGAGAAGTGCTCACCTTTCTGGCTTGTCCCTCCAAGAGATGGGCTTGGAACTGGCACAAATGTTAAAAAAAAATTCAAACCCCATTACAGCATGCAAACCACTGTGTTAATAACAATTTCTTGGCTTTAATACATTTGGAAGAATATTACCAGGCTGCTGGGTGGATTTGAACCATGAACCTTTTGGATAGGAGTCAATAATAAACCTACCGTTGTTATTATTGTATACCATTGAGTTGAAACTGACCATAGCTGACCCTCCAGTAGATTTTCAGAGGCAGTAAATCCCACAGGAGGAGATTGCCCATTTTTTCCCCACGGAGCAGCGGGTGGATTCAAACCAGGTGCCTTCAGGTTGGCAGCGCAGCTCCTTACCGCCAGATCCTTAATTATAGGGCCAAGAAACCAAACGCTCAGCAGTCAAACCGGTTCCAATTCATAGAGGCCCCTCCACGGGGTTTCCGAAGCAGTAAATCTTTATATTAGGAGACTGCTCACCTTTCTCTCACAGAGAAGTTGGTGGACTCGAACTGCTGATTTTCCAGTTAGCAGCCCGGTATATTTTCCCCCTACGTGACCAAGGCTCGCATAAGGCCAAGCGTAATTTGCAAATGAGGATGGATTTCCTTATTCTGGAGCTGTCAAGGGAGTGGGCTCAATGTTTCATAACAGAGCCAGTCATCACCAGTCAGTGAAGGAAGAACTTTGGATGGTTCCTTTGTGTCATCTGAGCGCCACGCTGGGCCTTCTGAAGGACTGTCATGCTGTGAATTATGGACTCCAATAACACAGGTGACAGTGCCAGGCGCGCAAGAGGCCTCTGATGAATTACCATGTTTTCCTTCCCCTGTGGGAGCTCCAGCCAGAAAATGCAAGTTCTGGGCAATTAATATCAATACGCACAATTTCAGCCTATTGCCTCTGATTAGATAAGCAGCCAGTAATGGGCTCGTTTTCAAACAAACAAGTCACGCAGGAGCCCTGATGAATGGATGTGCCAATTAGCAGTCTAGGACGGCTGGATTGTGTGCAAAAAGCATTCTTTCTTGAGCCAAACCACTCATCACGTATTTATAGCGTGAAAAAGTCCTTGTCAAGGCTGGGACTCTGGTTGATGGAAAAATGTCATCCTTAATAAGAGATAAGAAGTGGAGTGATAGCACTGAGGAGGTCTGGGTTGTAATTCAGCCTCTGCCACTTCCTGGCTACCTTCGGCATGCCACTGTACCCACCCTGAGTCTCAGTGTCCTCAGATGTATAGGTACAATAACCACAGCCTTTTCCTTGTCAAGGTATAAGATCCTTTTCTAGGGAGATATTGTTATTATCTGTTATTTGTTGTCAGTAAAATCTGGGGTGCGGGGGGACGGGGTCAGAGGCACTGCGTTTGAATTCCAACTCTGCCACCTCCCAGCCCAGTGGCTGCCCTCAGTCTCCTGCTGCAGGGGCTGCCCATACAGCAGCTGCTGGCTTGCTCCAAGCCACAGGAAACAGGTCTCTGAAGACAAGGTCACAACCCTAGGAATGGCACTCACAGAAGCGACACCCTGCCACTTTTGCTTTGTTAGGGTAGAATCAGGTCCACAGGTCTCACCAGCCTCAGAGAGGGGTGACCACCAGGAGGTGGGAAACACAGAGCCACATTAGGGTCTATCCACGGGACATCATGAAGGCCCAAGCACAGAGGCTTCCACAGGGACACTCCTAAGTGCTGATGGTGTGGACAGTGGTGATGGGGAAGTGACAACGAAGCGGAAGGAGAAGCAAGCAGCTTTGGATCCTTTGGGGGTGGAGTCCCCGGGTTTGACAAATGATTGGCACCCCTAGCTGCTAACATGAAGGGTAGAGGTTTTCAGCACACCCAGAGGTGCCTCAGAAGAAAGGTCTGGCAAGCTTTTTCCAGACAATCAGACATTGTAGACCCTTCGGAGCACAGTTCTCTTCTGACACACATGGGCCACTGGGACTTGGCGTTGATGCAGTGGTCACCTGGCATGTGATTTCTGATGCCATGTGTGAACATGACTTTGGGTGTTTCTGAAGTGCATGAACTCAGACAAGTGTCTCAGCCCTTCAGCCTCAGTTTCCCCTCTCAGGTGCAGGCAGTAGGATATATCATGGGGTGACTGTGCTCATTCACCAAGATGTTAGGTGCTAAGCTCTGGGCCTGGCACAGAAGCAGCACTCAGAAACGAAGCCTCTCCACCGGGCGGCTCTGACTTCCAGGATTCTGGGCACACCCACCTTTCTCCCTCCCAGAGTCTGTGATGTAAGCGGGGCACTGCTTTCTTTTCAGGCGCATGCTGAGAAGTAACAACAAGCCCAAGGAGCAGAAGAGTGTGCTCATCCTCCCTCCCAGGGCGGGCACCCCCAAGCTCTTCAATGCTGCCCTGGCTGCAGCAGGAAAGATGGGTGGTAAGGGCGCAAGAGGTGGCAAGCTTGCTCATCTCAGGGCTCGGCTCAAAGAACTGGCTGCGCTGGAGGCCGCCGCAAAACAGCAGCAGATGCTGGAACAGGTAAATATGGCTGGGAATCCAGCCAGGAGGTGCATTTTCACTGCGGGCCGGGGAAAAGCCAGGGGGCCAGGAGAGTGGACCACGCATTGAGGTTTAAAGTTTTAGGTGTGTTCATTCTCTCCTCTCCCTCTCCCTCTCTCTCTCTCTCTCCTCACTTTTGTATTTACTTGATGGTAAGTCACAGAGTGCGATTTCAGATTGGCTTAGGAAAACAGGGACTTTACTGGAGAAAGTAACTGGAAAAATTCAGGCAAGTCTGGATTTAAGGGCAAAGAATGCCAGTGGAACTTGTTTTCTTATCCTTTCATTTCTGTTCCATTTGGCAATTTGCGGTTCCCAGGCAGCCCTCAAGAGTACAGTTTCCCTATAACCTCAGCAGAGAAAAAGTACTCTCTTTTGATTCTAACAAAAGTCCTAGGGCTTGCTGCCATTGGACAGAACTGGTTTCCATGTCAATTCATGAGCCAATTACTATGGCTGCTGGGAGGCTCAGGTGTTCTGGAGAGAAGTCTGGGTCACATATTGTTTAAAGAGCAGTGGTAATGTGAGGATGGCCAAGTCTGGCTTCTACCAACTTCATAAAGAAGAACTCTTCTCATCAGTGATATCCATAGCACCATCCAAATAATTACATGGTCAGACACACCACTCCACATGTTCCTGCACCTCTTTCTGCCAATCACTCTGGTTCTATATTCATGTTGACTTCCTGACTTTACTCTGAGTTGTGGAGCTTATTAGAGAAATAGGCTGGAGAGCGGAGAAGGCAAAGAATATCACACAATACAAGTCCAGGTTTAGTCCAGCAGTCCCAAGCAAGATTAACAAGGTACACTTCCTCAATTAGTGACAGTCCAGGTTCAGTTCAGCAGCACAAATGCAAGAAACTTCTGGTTTCCACAATCATCCAGCAAACTATCTCAGAGCAGTTATAAGTCAACCTTTCCTTCAGTCATCCATCCAGCAAAACCTTTAACTGTAGCGTAAATGCAGGATTCTTCTGCTTATACCTTGCCATAGTCTCTTCACAGCAGCGCCACAGTCTCCTTCCTCTCTTGACCACCATCAGCAAGGTACCTCACAGTGTGGAAAACCTCTCTCTTATATTATATTGGTCTCACAGTTGTTGATGACTTGCCAGACCATGTGTGTGCAGTTAAGATAGCTAGAGACTACCTCCTCCCTGACCAGTGAGGACTAACACAGTGGCTAGAAAAACCAATTTTCAAGGGTTCTGACACCCCTAAGTTCAAGTCTCAACTGAGACAGGGGGAGGGAGCTCCTCAAATGGAAACCCCAGGGCTTCTGGTGGTAGGAGGAATGGACACAAGCAGGGTGCATTAATTCCCAGGTGAGAGTGGCATTCTCATATTTAATATTGTGTTGGTGACAGTTTAAATTTATTTGAAAGACAAAACCTCTGAAGACAGGCACAGTGCTGACTACTCCCATTCTAAAGGGAATGTTAAAATTAGTTCTGGGATCCCCACCCTCAATTAAAACTAAGAATGCCAGTTAGAATGACTCTATACAAGGAGTACAATTAGAATGATACTGTTTCTGACAGTCCTTGAGGATGGCTGCTGGGAAATGGGGGTCTGGGTTTGGGTGGGATGATCAGGCTGCTGCCAGAGCCCAGGGGGCCCGTCCAGGGGGCTATTTGACAGTAGCAGTCTGTTGAGTGACATCAAAGTCATCAGGAGTTCCAAGACATTCACCAGATGCAACCCCACAAGACCTCACCAAAGCTCAAGGGCAGGGTCAACCTCAGATCTTTAAAGTCGGCTGCTCTGTGAGTTGAGAAGAGCACAGAGTGGATGTGACGCTGGCATGGACTCCAAGAATATTCTTGGTGCAGCGTCACTGTAGCATATTCCATTTTTACCAAATAACTTGGATGTGGCTGCGTTCGGGGCCATTGCATCTAATCCCCAGGGCGCATACCGCCATCCATCCTCCTGCTTGGGGGGCCGTGGAGGTGGGGGACAGGAAGAAACCTCTCAGTATATTGACCACATTCCTTGTTATATCTGTGCATCATGAGTCCTCCTTTGCTGATTCCAGGCCAAGAGCGCAGACGGCACCGCTGGAGAGGCGGGTTCAGCGCCCACGGAGCAACCCGCCGAGCAAGTTACCGCTCCGGCAGAGGGCGCCCGGGCCCAGGACCCGGCTCAGCCCGCACCGCCCGCGCCCTCAGATCCCCCGGCCCAGCCCCCCGCTCCAGCGCAGCCCGCGCCCTCGGATCCCCCGGCCCAGCCCCCAGCTCAGCCCGCGCCGCCCGCGCCCTCGGATCCCCCGGCCCCGGTCTCTGCCGGGACGCCCGCTCAGGGCACCGAGCCCGAGGAGCACTCGGTGCGCATCCGCATGAGCCCGGGCCCCGAACCCGGCGAGCAGATCCTGTCGGTGGAGATCCCCGAGGAGAAGAAGGAGTGAGGGTCCGGGGCGGTGGCCTTCCCGCCGGCACAGACCCTGCGCGCTGGAACCTCCAGCCCACCACCTCCCGCCGCCCCGCGGGTGCCTCCCAGGGGGTGGCCTTGAAATGAACTTAGTGTTTTTAGGAACAAACTTTCTATTTTCACAGATCTTATAGGCAGGCGATAGAACGGGGCTCCAAGAAGCCTTTTGTGGGAGAGGAGAGTGGTTACTGATTGGATAGGTTTTCCCTTTTCCATCTTCTTCCACCTCATTTCAGCAGAAGGCGGGGTGGTCGAGCTACACTTTTGCTGTGCGGGAGAGGTGGGAAGTCTCACCTGACCCCTGGATGCTGATGTTCTTTGTGGAGCAGCTGCGTTAAGCGTGCTTGTGAGCCTGATGGTTGCTGGATTCAGTGACACAGCAGGACTCCCTATAGGGGAGTTTGGGGTTGCAAACTTTACGGAAGCAGATAATGTTTCTGTTTTCCAGACCATCCCTCCATTCCCCATCTGATGTCATTATCTGACCAGATACTCAAGGGACTGAGATTTCTCAAAAGCGCGCAAAGGGAGGACTCACATTTCCATTGGCAGGAATCCTTCTGTTACTATAGAGACCATGGTAGCAATTTCCATTCATCCCAGAAGACGAAACCTCAAGTGGATGACATCTCTTAAGTGCCCCCACGTTCCTGGACACCACTGTCTTTATTGCCTTTAAGATTCAAGAAGTGGAAGAAAGGTCATTCACTCAGTTGAGAAAAGTTTTATTTGTATACTGAATGGTTCTCAAGAAGTCAGTGATAAACCAAAAAGCTGTAGTTTCGATACAGGTTTTAAATCAGAAAAGTTGTGTGTCAGGGTTGTCCTTTCTCCACACCTATTCAACCTGTATGCAGAGCAAATCCTTTGAGAAGCTAGCCTCCATGAAGAAGAATGTGGCATCAGGATGGGCGGAAGATTTATCAACAACCTGTGTCATGCAGATGACAGAACCTTGCTTCCTGAAGATAAGGAGGACCTGAAGTGCTTGCTACAGAGGATCAAATACTACAGTCTTCAGTATGAATTACATCTCAACCTCAAGGAAACAAAAAGAGTCACCAGACAATAGACAACTTCATGATAGATGGAGAAGAGATTGAAATTATCAACAATTTCTTTTTTTGTGGCTCCACAATCAACAGCTATGGTAACAGCAGTCAAGAAATCAAAAGATGCATTGGGAAAGTCTGTTGTCAAGGTCCTGTCCAAAGTGGAGATATCAAAGAGCAATGGTGTCAATTTAAAGACTAAGGTGTGCCTGATCCAAGCCCTGCTCTTTTCAGTTGCTTTGAATGCATCTGAAAGTTGAACAATAAGTAAGGATGACAGAAAAAGATTTGATGCCTTTCCATTGTGGGGTTGGAGGTCTGAGTATCCCATGAACTGCCAAAAGAACAAACAGGTCTGTCTTGGAGGAAATGCATTCAGGGCACTCTTAGAGGCAGGCATGGCGAAGTTTCATGTCACATACTTTCAGTATATTGTCAGGAGAGGTCAGAAAGACTTCATGCTGAGAAAAGCGGAGGGTCAGGGAAAGAGGAAAATTGTTAAGGAGATGAATTGACACAGTAAGAGTATCAGTGGGTCTGAGCATGCTAGAAATCAAGAGGATAGTTCAAAATATGGCAAGGTTCAAATCTATTATTCATAGGATTGCTGTGAGTTGTAGTCAAATCCTACCTGTTCTCCAGGCAATTCCTGTGTCAGGGGCTTTGGGAGCTATTGAAGGGCCCTTTGGGGGCTTGCAAATGTGTGTGTTTATTTACCAAACTAAAAGCAGAACATAGATTCCACTGTGAAAAAAAGGGAAATAACCTGGGATCTTCCAGGCTGATCTGTTCTTGTTAGATGTCATAGGATCAAGTTTTGACACATAATAATTTTTAGACAGGTCTTTACTCCCTGGGAACAGCTAAGTAGATGACAATCGCTAACCTCACTGTTAGTATTCAAGTACTTAATCCACTGTACCACCAGAGAAAGCCCCTTCAGCATGTCCAAGCATTTCCAAATCCCTAGGTGAAGCACAATTTACCTTGTTCGTGGTATATGTGACCATGAACTAGATAAATCATCATATTAAATATAATGATGATCAACTTTAGTATCTTATCCTTTCAACACTATTCTTTAATTTTTTGACGATAGACACAAAATATAGGTCAAAATGTAAAAGGCATGAGAGTATCTGTTAGCCCTGTCCCCGGCCTCCCTGGCTCTCTCCCAGGGGCCAAGCACTGTATCAATCTCTTATCCTTTCAGAGATGTTTCTATGTTGACACAAGGAAATATGTGAATTCATGCTTGTTCTCAGAGTCTTCCAGACAGAAATGGTAACACCCTGGAGCCACAGCTTTTTTCCTCCTCGATTTGTTTTAGCGATAATTCCCTGGCAGTAGATAAAGGCCGTCTTTATTTTATCACGAGCACAGTTGAACCCATCTTACTGTGCATTGTACCACGGACATAATATTTACCACTCTTCCGTCGATGGTCACTTGTAGTGTTTCAGTCTTCTGCAGTTAAAAAAACCACATTCTTTATCAACTGCAATGGCCAGTGTTCATCACTTCACTGATGAACACTGTTTCTCCTTGGCAGATTTGTTTTCCTTTCCCTTCACCATTTGTTCTTGTTAGTGACCTTTGAGTGCTTTTCAATGAGTGGCAGCCTGTGTACAGCAGAGCGAATCGTTGCCCCATTCCTCACCATTTTCATGAGCATCGCACGTCTGGTTCTGTTGCTACGACTACTGTGGTGCCTTCCAACGTTAGGGGCTCATCTTCCAGTACGATGTCAGATATTACTCTGTTGAGATCCTTAAGCTTTTGCATTGGCTAATTATCAGAGCTATGTAGCCAAGTTTTCCTTCCTAATCTGTCCTAGTCTGGAAGTTCTGTGAACCTCCGTCCACCATATGGAACCCTGCTCGTATTTGAAATACTGGTGGTACAGCTTCCAGCCTCACACCCACACACAAGCGGTCACAGTGCAGCGGACTGCAGAGGCTGAGAGCGACCTCATTTCCAAATCCCATATTGGCACTCCTCATTGCATTACCCAAGCATAACAGATATTTCCGTCTTTAGCAAGTATTTCAGGTATACATTCACTTTGCTCTCCAGTAAGTAGCAGAATGTTTCAGGACCACTTTTCACTGTGAGATTTTATTATGCAAGAAATATTTTTTTGTTTATATGAATGAACTTATTCTTTTAGATATCAACCTTGGAGTGTATGCTGCTTATTATAAAAGGAAAGAGGTTCTTATAATAGGAAAGAGATTCTCGAGGTTCCCAGGAATTATTCCGGAGGGAAAATTGATGAGATTAGCTGGGGCTTCATTTCACCGAGCTATCTCATTAAACTTGACATGTTCACAAACCTTGACTATTAGGTAAATTAAATGTGAGGCTGGCATTATTTTGCAAATGGAATTAAACTGGTAGATTGCCAAGATATGGATGGGTTACAGGTCTGGAGATTCTGCGGATGAAACAGGATCCTTATTTCTGTATTCTGAATCTCTCCTGATTTGAAATGTCTCAACACTTTCTGTGACTTGGTAGAAAATGAATAGTGAATTCTTTTCTTCACTGTGTGAATATTTCTTTCAAATAAAATTCAGACCAAGGACCTGTTCAAAAATTTAATTAGGTTCATTATCCAAATGTATTCTGCTACCTGGGATATTCTAATCTGCTTTATTAGCAAACTCGGGTGCTGTGTTTGCCCCCTGGCTTTCATATGACAATGTAATTTAATTAAAGTGTTTAGACAAACGGTCTTGCCTTGTGGATTCATTTCAGGAACTGGCCATGTGTGACAGATCTTGGGTTTTGTGAGATAAACTAAGTGATGTTCCCAGCTAATCCCTTCTCTGCCCTCCTGCTGCCTTCCTCAGGGCTGGATTGTCCTGCATTCCTATGGCTAGAGAGAGATCACTCCAGTGCTATGGTCCAGGGGTACCTTTTCATTTGTGGGGCCACAGCTGCTCCTCTCAGCATTCCTTATCAAATCTCTATGATCTCTCGGATCAACAGACTTGGGAGTCTGTAAGTCTGTCCGAGTCAACTGCTGATGTGCTTCCAAAGCCCAGGACAGTCTGTTGAGTTGGTGCCGATGCATGGCATCTCCCTGTGTTCTAGAACAGAACCGTTCCACGGGCATTTCGGTGTTTGCCGGGACCTTTCAGAAGCCTCTCACCAGGCCTTTCTTCTGCGTTACTTCTGAGTGAGTTTAGACTTTCAAACTTCTGGTAAATAGCCCAGTGCTTAACCCTTTGCACCACTCAGACACGTCCAAAGCCCATTAGACTTGCTTAGTAAGACACACACTCGGCTCTGAGTTCAAACAACCCCAGTGCGACGACCACATAGCACAGGTGACTCTGGTCCTCACTGGATCCCGATGACCTCACGTGTAACGTGGAGATGCTGCATTGCATATTAAAATAACCAAATCAAGCTGCACTGCAATCCCAGAGGAACACGGTTCGAATCCAGCAGATGCTCTACTGGAGAAGGAGGGACAATCTCCTCCTGTACCAGTCAGATCTGATCTGACGGTACACGCACAAGATAATAATAATTAAAAAATTTAAAAAAAAAACGCAACAAACCAAATCACCAACCAGCATCCCCATGTCTGAATCAGCACAAGAAATGAAACCTGCTTGGCCGCCCTTTGCTCGGTGACAGCCGAAGCCCCTTGACCCTCCGTCTTCTCTGAGTTCTGCCTCAGAGAACCTGTTTTCATGCACCCAGTGCCTGTGTTCGTGTACACAGAAGGACTTTTCTCTTTAACAGAGAGTTCAGTCAAAGGCCAGATGTTAAGCTGCAACTGAAGGCACAACTTCTCTGTAGGTATGAATGTGTCAAATCGAATGTGAAATGAAACAGGCCCTGAAACACCCTGACACTCCCGGGGTGCTTAGTCCATTCTGTGCAGGATGGGCTTTGTGAACATAAGGCC